TGAGGAGGAGGATGTGCTTGTGCGTGAGACACACCGCGTGGATATCTGATATGAGAGCGCCGTCTCGCTGTTCATATGCTGCCATCCTGCCTCGCTTCGCCTCGCTTTGCCTCGCTTGCGGGCATGCCCTTGTCCATATGAATAATAGAGGACCACAGAGAGACAGACAGACCGATCGAGACAGAAGACCAAACACAACAACCAAAGCAAGCAAGGCGATCCCACAAGAAGGGAGGACCCCACATTCATGCGCAACCACTGCCCACAACAACAACAACAACCAACAACCAGCAAACGATGCGGGTTGTGGCAGGGGCTGTTCTTGTGCTGGTGTTGTGCGCGCTCTTGCCTTTCGTGCACGCACAGATCAGGCCACCTGCGCGACCCCACAACTACGACTGCGCACTGAAGCAGCTGGCATACAACCGGTCCCTCGCCCTGCTTGCTGGCTCGAGCAACGCCGACGCAGGCGCTTGGCCACAGCTCATCCACGATGCGCTGTTTCTGGGCCAGTGCTCCGAAGCGGCAGCTGCTGCCGCGACCGCCTCCACGTCAACGGCACGGCGCACCTTTCGCGAGCGCGTACGGCAGGCACGAGCAACTCCGCCACCGGAGCAGCGCTGCATGACAGTCTTTGTGTCACCGAGTGGCGACGACACGCATGGCGATGGCTCTGCTGCGCACCCGTTTGCATCCCTGCAGCGAGCACTCGCAGTCACGGCGTCCATGCCCGCGCATGGCAGTGGATCTGCACCCTCGTCCCTGGAGATACTCATGCAGCCCGGGCACTACTTCGTGGCCAACACCGTCTACGTCGGTCCGCAGCCTCTTCCCGTGACCATCCGCGCCGCCGACCCTGTGCGCAGACCCATCATATCGGGCGGCATGCGCCTGACAAACCTCACCTTCACAGCAGCGGGTGACCCTTCGCTGCCACCCACCACGCTGGTGACAACCCTGCCGCCACAGGTGGACCTCAGCAATGCCGCCAAAGGGCTGAGTGTCTTCGTGGACCACGAAGCGTACGTTGCCGCGCGGTGGCCAAACGCCAACCCGGTGTATGACCTGTGGCCAGCTGGCTACGTGGACGGGCCCATCGAGTATGCACCTGCGCACCACCCTGGCCCGCACGAGATCCCCGTCAGCGTGCAGGCGGCGACGCTGCCTTTCCCTTCCGTGTATCAGACGTATGAGCACACACTTGTCGACCCGCGCCAGTGGCACGTGGGCCGCGGCGTTGGCGGCGCCACCTTGCCGCCATCGGCCACACCCCCGGCCAACCTCACCGGTGGCATTGCAGTCAACTGGGACGGCAACAACCATCCAGGCTACCGCGACCAGTGGATGAACTACGGCTACTTCATCACCAAGCAGAGCGACCCCAATACCAAAGCCAGTGCAGAACAGGCAACACCTTCCTCCGACCCCGACTCGCCTTCCTCTTCATCCTCTTCACTTCGCTCTTCTTCTTCTGTTTCTTCTTCTTCTTCCTCCTCCTCTCCTACTTCTTCTTCTTCTTCTTCTTCTTCTTCACCTTCCTCTTCATCAGCAACGCTGACAAGCACGTCAAAGGGCCGACCAGCGAGCGGCGGCCACACGCTCACCTTCGGTGCCGGTGGCTGGCAGGGCACCAACCCGGACTCTGGCGACAAGTACCGGCAGCTGTATGTGTACAACGCGCGCGGTGCGCTGGATGCCCCTGGCGAGTACTGGATTGATGCGTCCGCGCGGCAGCTGTTCCTCATCCCCAACAACACGGCCATCAACACCACGACCACCATCACCATCGCCCAGCAGGCAACGGTGCTTTCTGTGTCCGGCACTGCGCGCAGACCCGTGCGCAACCTCACCTTGCGCGACCTCGTGTTCACGGCCACGCGACCCACGTTCATGGAGGAGTACGAGCAGCCCTACTCCAACACGGCCGGGTGGTCGTTTGCCCGCCACGCCGCTGTGGAGATGGAGGGTGTGGAAGACAGCGCCGTGGTTGCCTGCTCCTTCCGCTGGCTCGGCGGCAATGGGCTGCTTCTGTCTGGCCGCGCCAACAACGTCTCTGTGCTCGACTCGGAGTTTGCGTTCCTTGGCGACTCGGCCATCCTTGCGCTTGGCCGCCCCCGCCTTGCGGCCGGCGTGTGGCCAGACTTCCCCAACGCAACCACCGTGCAGCGCTGCCTCTTCCACGACCTTGGGCTGGTTGGAAAGCAGGTCGCAGCATACTCGCAGTACATGGCGGCGCACACCACGCTGGCGCGCAACGTGGCATTCAACCTGCCGCGGGCGGCCGTGAACTGGGGCGACGGCTTTCGCGGCGGCAACGTGCTCACGGCGTCCGTGTTCTTTGCGTGTGTGCGGGAGAGCGCGGACCACGGCGCCTTCAACTCGTGGGCACGTGAGCCCATGCTGTACGTGGACGAGGCGAGCGGCGGCAACGTGGCGGTGGTGCCCAGGACAAACACCATCTCCAAGATGCTCATTCTTGGCGCAGGTGGGACGCTGTCGAACCTGGACCACGACGACGGCAGCCTGCTCTACAACGACACGGACAACGTGCTCGCATATGCGCCCGCCAAGAGCTATCTCGGGTCGCAGAAGACAGCCACGCGCTCGCTGTTTCTGTTCCCGGACCTGGCGGTGATGCAGCACACGTGCTACATGTCAGACGGCGCGTTCAACTCCACCTTTGGCGAGCAATACACGCACAACACGTGCATGCTCTTCAATGCCACAACCGCGCCCGTGGCCTCTATGCCCGTGTGCAATCAGACGGCGCTGTCCGCGTGCACCGCGTCCAACAACAATCGCTACTTTGTGTCCACGGATGCCTCTCACCCGACCCCCGTGTGGCGTGTGGGCCATGAGGCGTTGCACCTCCCAGGGATGCAAAAGCTTGGGCTTGAGCACAACTCAACCGTGGTCTCCGGCTTTCCTTCGCCGAGTGAGGTTGTTGCCATGGCCAAGGCTGTTCTTGACATGTAATCACATGGCCTTTGGAGACGGGGGAAGGGGAAGGGGGCTTGTGTGTGAAGAGAGCAAGGAATGTCTTGTCTGTCTGTAGGTCTGTCTCTGTGCGTTTCTGTGTGTTTGTGTGTCAGTCTGTCTGCGTGTGTCTGCGTGTCTGTGTGTGTGTGTGTGTCTGTCTGTCTGTCTGTCTGTCTGTCTGTCTGTCTGTCTGTCTGTCTGTGTTCCAGTAACATTCCTGCCTCCCTCAACCCTTTGCTAGCTATCTCCCATCTGTCTTGTTGTTCTCCCTTTTCGACAGTTACACGCCCTGCCCCAACACGTTGTTACTTACTTCCATCGTATAAACAACCCAGAGCGCCAGATGTGCAGTTACGGATGGTTTACTCGACAGCAATGCCCACACGCACGCTCAAAGAGAAGCAGAACAGGCCAGACACTCGAATGGCCTCAACAAACAAGCGCGAGCACAAACACGCACGCACACACATGAGCGGTCGGTCGAGCAACAACGGAAGCACTACAGTCGACAGTCGACACAAACACGCGCCCGCACACAAGCACACGCACACATGGGACGAAAGAAAGCGTTATCAAGAGGGTGCATCAGCACCGATTAGTGGGCACATGCGAAGCACTGGATTCATGGCGGGAACAGCAGAGTGCCATGTGCGCCTACTCCAGTCCAACGAACAGAGAAGGAAGGGGGGCATGGATGCAGGAGGGCGATGTCGGCAAGGTTGTGCGCCTCCCTGTGCAAAGATGTGCGCAGTGCGAGTGTGTATGAGGAGGGGTGAGCTCAAGAACCCAACCGAGAGTAAACGGAGCGTGCGTGAAAAGATACTGTGTGGGCAATTGCGCGCGCGTGATGTTGGGTGCGTGCGTGCATGTTTGACATGGGTTTGGACGTTTGGTGTCTGGTGGTGCAGGGAGGGGTATGTGGATATCGCCAAGGCAGTGGGCCACGGACCGTGCGTGCGCACGAACATGCATCCACGCACGACACTGTGGTGCGCGCCTTGCACCGCTACCACAACAACGCCCGTATAAACACGCACAAGTGCGCACGCACACGCACGCACGCACGCACGCACACACACACACACACACACACACACACACACACACACACACACACACACACACACACACACACACACACACACACACACACACACACAAGTACGTACACGGAAACATACGCAACGTGACGCACCTTGTTGGTGAGCTTACAAGCGGTGGCCACCGCGCAGGGCGAGGACGAGGTGAATGGTGCAGCCACTCTCAATCTTGCAATCCTTGAGAGTTTTGCTGTCGTTCAACGGCTTTCCGGCATAGATGAGGCGCTGTTGCTCTGGGGGAATGCCTTGCTTCTCTTCCAGCTTCTCCTTCACTTGGAGCATGGTGTCGTCTGGCTCCACGTCCAGCTCAATCTCTCGCCCCGTCAGCGTCTTCACCTTGATCTGCATGGTGGTGGTGTGGTGGTGTGGTGTAGCTGTCGTCGGTTGCGGCGGTTGTCTGCTGTTTGGCTGGCAGTGGAAAAACTAAATTGTGGTGTCGTTTATGCGGCCCGCCCTGCACGTACAAACCTGCCGCTGGTCGCTCTTCTCCTCTTCTCCGGGTCCTCAGCTCTTCAAGTCTTAAAGTCTTCAGCTCTTTCTCTTCAGCTCCCACCGCCACCTGTTTGCTTGCCTGCAGGCCTCTCGACTCGACTGCACCCAGCCCTTCTTCAGTGTATTTCTTCAAGTGCCCAGCACCGCAGACCACAACAACAAGAGAACAAGACAACAACAGCTTCAACTGCGACAAAGCTACAAAGAGACGAAAGAGACGAAAGAGGAAGATCTAAGATCGAAGGTCTTAAGATCGCAACAAGTACAACAAACCAGCACTCCTCCTCATGTCTCTGAACTTCAACACAGCCCAAGTGCGGACGCCATCGCGCACGTCACTCACTGTCGCCATCGGTGGCGTTATGCCCCTCGTCCCCGCCATCACTGCTTGTGGTAGAGTCATCAGAATCAAAGAAGAGGTTGTCAATGAGGGCTTGTTGTTGTTGCTGCCGTTGGCGAGCTGACATTGCCGGTTGCTGTTGTTGCTGCTTTTTCTTTTTGTTTGCGCTGGTCAGCTTGGCCCGCGTTCGCTTCTTGGTCTTCCTTGCGCGCCTCTGTTGTTGCTGCTTCGGCTCTGCAAACAACTGCCGAGCCGCCGCCGCCGCCTCTGGCGCTTGCACGAGCTCAGGTGAGCCATCAGGCAGAGGAACCCGCTGCTTCTGTGTGCTGGTTGTGCGCTGCTGTTGCTGCTGCTGCCCTTGTAGCTGCTTGTTCTGCTTCTCAACCAAGATGGCAAGTTGCTGTTGTTGCTGGAGCACGCGTTGCACCGTGTCCACGACGGCGAGGATGTTCTCGCGCTGGGCATCAAGCTGCCGGGATAACAGCCCCACGCTCTGCTGCAGCTGCTTCGTCTCCTCGGACAGCTTCTGCAGCTCAGAACACGTCGCCATTTGCTCAGATCCTACACCGTGGTCGTGGTTGGTGGCATCGTTGCGGAAGCAGGAAGGAACAGTCATAGACCAGGTGGAACAGATGTGAGGTGAGGTGAGCGTACGTCAAGTTGTGGATGTATCGCGGTGGGGCATGATCAAGCCCTTGCAGCTTCACAACGGGCTCTGGTCACACTCACGCCCAACACGCACGCACGCCCAACACACACACACACACACACACACACACACTGACACACGTACACACGTACACACATGCACACTGACACACGTACACACGTACACACACGCACATGAAAACGACCACGAAACAATCCAAAAGACAGCGCCGTTCCAGTTGACAGCGCTGTTCCAGTTGCCAACGCAACTTTAGAACTTTGCACGTGCACGTACCAGCAACGTCCTGCTGCTGAGACACGCTTTGAATAGCCCGTCCAATCTCGCCAACCTGCACGACAAGAGGTCAGCGTGCCAGGCGACAAAGTGAGCAGATACATTAGGGGTGTTGGTGGGCTGAAGCGAACAGACACCAAACAGGGGGGCAATTCAAAAGCGAGCAATCACGTTCTTGGCCGTAGGTGGGCTGCGCTCACATACCTCGGTGGTCAGGCACTGGACGTCGCGTGAAACACGCTCAATCCCTGAAGACAGCCTAGGTCGTGGCGAGTGGACAAGATGGCTGGGGTTTTGAACGGGCACGTGTGCTTAGGTGTACAAGGAAGCATGTGCGCACAAGCTGCTGTTCATGTGCAAGGAGTGCACACACAACATACAGCATACACACGCGCACATACCCACGCACACAACAACGCGCGCATAACAACGCACATAGCTACGCACACAACAACGCAAGCACACACACACACACACACACGTTTGTGTGAGCCAGCTCAGCTGAGTTCGCTTACGTGGAGGATACGGTGGTGGTCTCGAGATCCTCCACGTACGCCGTGTAGCTGGCAATACCAGAGCGAAATGGAGCCTGGGTGTCCTGCGCGCTATCTGCTTCCGCATCACTGGGAAGGCGGGGTCGCGCTGGCGCATATTTGTGCAAAGAAACGGGACCCTGCTTGGCTGAGATGCCCGGGTTGGAGAGATGCTGTGACAACGATTCCTGCTCTGCGTACCGCTTATAGAACAATGTGGCATCGTTGGTGGGGCGCTGGGTTTGTTGACGCCACGTGTCGCCTCGCCTCTGAGCGGAGCTGGTCGCTGTGTTTGTGGCTGCAGACGGTGCTGCGGAGGACATGATCTGGCCCATCCTGTTGTTGGTGTTGTTGTTGCGCGCGAAGTTGAGCTGGTCCTGGTACTGGATGCTGGTGTTGGCGATGGAGCGTGAGGGGTAGCCCTGCGACTGGTCTCCGCTGCCCTGACGGGTGCCTGCTGCAGCTGAGGAGCTTGGTGCCGTGGTCCAGGGGACACTACCGGCACTCGACAGAACCGACTGCGTGTCGGAGAAAGGGCCCTGGGTGGACTGCGTGTGGCTGTATGATGTGACCTGGGAGCCCTCGAGGAGCTGTGATGGGGAAAAGAGGGACATGCCCCGAGTCAAGCAGTAACGGCCTGCTTGGTGGATTGGAGAATTGGGCAGCAGCAGGAGAGGAGGGAGGAGGGGAGTTACAGAAGGGTGAGGTCCGCAGAGGGGTGAAGAGAGAGGATGGTTGTGAGCAAACACATGTGTACGCGAGGCGGTGATGGAGCAGGGGGTGTTTGAGAAGTGAAAAGCTGCGAAGAAAAACTGGCGGCTTGAACGAGCAGCAATGTAATGAGGCATCAACAGTAATGCGTTGCCTGAATCGATCGTGCAAACCAAGAAACCAGTTCTGCAAGAAGGTGAGAAGGAGAGGGACAACGGTTGAGAAGTTGGCGTTGGCGGGAATCATGTTTGTGCGAACATCGCGGCGAAGATGCTGAGAGCTTGAAAGCATGAGAGGCTGCAGAGCGAGATCAGGGTGTGAAACCCCAGCGCAAAGGTGCAAAGGCACGAGCACGACGACGAAGGGGTAGCTAGAGCGCGAGTTGGTAATGTAACACGCTGGTTTGAAAGATGCGGCCTGTGTGACTATTATTGGTTGGCGCCAACTTTGGTGGTTTGAAGAATTGGCGGGAAACGGGTTCCTTCGCGCGCTGATCTGAATTTTTGTTCGGGTGATTGGCCCCTCGCCTTGCACCCTGTTGATAACACGCATTGACACCCTATCCACCGCATGTCCAAAGGTTCGGAACCAGTTGGCGGGAAACTTCTGAACACATTGATGTACGTGCGTGCGTGCGTTTGCGTGCGTGCGTGTGTTTGCGTGTGTTTGCGTGTGTGCAGTATTATTGCCATTGCTCTCGGTTGAAGAAAGGCAGAAAGCCACAGCAGTGATTATTCAACTCACCTTGGGTCAGTGCCAGCTTGCTAGTGTTGTCATTTTCCACAAGTTCATCCGACGACCGCATCGCCCACCAACACCCGCCAAGACCCGGCAAGACCGCCTAGACAACCTTGTCTTGTCACACACAAGCAACCTACAGAAGGTACACAAGTCTCACCGTCGCGCACGTACGCCAGGCACGAACCAAGATACCAACCGTCATCATGGGCGCCAACCAAGCTGATGCCACCACCACTACCGAGGAGGCCGTTGCTGCGGAGGTCACAGACAAGCAGGAAGAGGCTGCTGCACCCGCCGTGACCGACGACGACAAGACGGAGGAGGCAACCGACGACGACAACAAGGAGAACGTGGAGGCCAAGAAGGAGGACGAGGACAAGACCGAGGAGGCTGACGAGGCCGAGGACAAGAAGGACGAAGACAAGAAGGGCGAGGACAAGACGGAAGAGGACAAGACCGAGGAGGACAAGACCGACGAAGCTGACGAGGCTGAGGACAAGAAGGACGAAGACAAGACAGAGGAGGCTGAGGACAAGAAGGACGAAGACAAGACAGAGGAGGCTGACGAGGCTGAGAACAAGAAGGACGAAGACAAGAAGACCGACGAGGACAAGATGGACGAGGAGAAGGACAGCGAGAAGAACAAGGCTGACGCCGAAACCAAGCCCGAGTCCCCCAAGCGTGAGGCAGAGGAAGACACTGAGGCGAGCAAGAAGGCCAAAACAGAGGAGTAAGCGCCAGGCCACGCCATTCACCCAAGATGCATTCTCTCCTCTCCTTCTTGCACTGTTTTGATATCTCAGTGTAGTCAAGTCGTCGTGCGTGTCTCGATGCTTGTTTGTTTGGCGCTGTTTCCGTCTTCAGTCAGCAGCTCCGCATTCCATCCCGTAGTCACATGTGCGATGCTTTGTAATTGTCCCTTTTTGTGTGTGTGTGTGTGCGTTGTTGGCCTTGCAAGCTGTAAATGCCTGCTACATTGACCCAGTGTTGTTGCTTTGCCGCCCTCTAACTGGTGGCCTGTGTAAGCGCACAGCTTTTCCTTGCATACTGTCTGTGATTGTGGTTTCTTTGAGTCTACTCAATACAACATCAACAACCCATCAGTCGCAAATGCGTATATGTTGTACGGGAACGTAAGAGTGTGGCTTCATTTCCTGCTGACTTTGGTGGAGAGTGCATCCTGGCTTTGTTGTACACACCCTTTATTGTTGAGTGAACCCCACAACACAAAGACAAACCCAGGAGCTAGCAAAAAGTACCATCATCATCATCAGCAGCATCATCAGTAGCAGCAGTAGCAGGAACAGCAGTATCACCACAACCACCACCACCACCACCATCATCATCATCATCATCATCATCATCATCATCATCATCATCATCATCATCATCATCATCAGCAGCAGCAGCAGCAGCAGCAGCAGCAGCAGCAGCAGCAGGAACAGCAGGAACAGCAATATCGCTTCACCAGTCACCCTGCATGACAATGTCGGCAAACGCTAGGCTCTGTTCGACCTGCAAGAGCCCGGCACCAGCAAGATGCAGCACGTGCGACAAGCCAGACGCAGCAATGAACTTCGTCGGGGCGGTGCCGAGCACCTCTTGAAAGGAGACTGCGGCCTTCTTCTGCTGACCAAGCTCAACAACATACCTGGACAAGGTATGCACGTGAAGATGTGAAGATGTGAATCAGGTGGAACAAAGATGTAAGAAAAGTGAAAGAAAGATGCACAAAAGGCAGATGGTCGTTAGCCCAGCATGCACCAGCGTCGCGTGTGACGGCAATACGCAAACGGCACCCAAATGAAACAGATGGCGAACTCACCCAAGAAACTCCTTGCCTTCCTCCGTGATGGTGTCCAGCATCTCGATTTCTTTGAGGACATCAGGCGCGTTTCGTACCACAGCATCCATATCCACTACATGCACCACACGTACGCACTTGAAGTGTGGGTACAGGTTTGGACAAACTCGCGCGTGTCTGTTGTCCAACAGGAGCGCCCCCCCCCCCACGACACGCCTCAGGGATGATTCACGAAGACCGCCGCCAGCACACCACACATTCACATGCACATGAACGCATGAACTCCACACAAACACATGAATACCTAGATTACACACACACACACACACACACACACACACACACACACACACCTGTGGAGTCGTCGAGTGGGTTCACTCCAAGAAGGCTGGTTGCCTCTGTCTGGCTTGGGGCAGTGCCAAACACATTGCTGCATGGGTGGGAACCACCAAGTATCATGCACCAAGCATGCAGCACGAAATCATCGGCGTGAATTATTTGCAAGCACGAGAAGCGTCTTGCAAGCCCAACTGGCGTGCGCACCACAGCACAGCACACGCCAAGCGCGAACCACGAACCGCACAAACAACACACAGCAATTCACAAGTGCCCATTACCTCTGCTGTTCTTGAGCCGCTGCCGCCTCAAATACAGCCGCAAGAGAGCGTGCGCGACTTCGCGGTGTCCCATCACCATCACCACCATCTCCACCATCTCCACCATCACCACCATCACCACCATCACCAGCATCACCATCACTGCCGCTGCCGCCAGCAGCTGAACGGACGCTACGAAGTCCCGACGAGAGTGCGGACTCGCGACGGCTGTGACGCGCGCGCTCAATGCTCCGTGCGCCCGTCAGCGAAAACGCCGGGCTCTGCCACGGACGAGGGACCGATCGCGGCGACCTGTGCACAAGTACAAAAACGCATGTGGAAATGAAACAAGCGGCGAATGTGGGTGAAAAGTGTGTGTATGTGTGTGTGTGGACGTATGTGTGGACGTGCTTGGGTGTGTGCGTGTGTTTGGGTGTGTGTGCTTGTGTGTGTGTGTGCTTGTGTGTGTGTGTGTATGTATGTGCGTGGGTGCGTGTATGTGCTTGGGTGACGTGTATACTGAGCTGTGGCTGCTCGCTACCGCCCAACGATGACGCATGAACAACAACAGCAAGATCAGATTGCAGCCCTGCGGTGCATGACCGCAAAACCACCGAGCAACGTGGATTGAGAGCTGTCTTACGATGTTGGGGAGGCGCGGCCGACTTCTGGGTCATCAAGTGGGAGGGCGCTATTCGCTTCCACTGCCGAGACGTCACCCAAACCTTGCTGTTGCTGCTGCTCTTGATTCATATCTGCCCGATCGCCATCATCCGCATGGTCATCATCATTGTCATCATCACTGGCGCTTCGGTCGCCTTCGACGCCTGCCGCCTCATGATCGTCGTCGTCGTCGTCGCCGCTGTTCAGATAGTTTGCATTCCTTTTGGCCGCGTATCGCTGGGAAAGTGCGCACGAGGGTGTGGATATTTGTGTGTGTGCGTGTGTGCGTGTGTGTGTGTGCGTGTGTGTGTGTGTGCGTGTGTGTGTGTGTGTGCGTGTGCGTGTGTGTGTGTGTGTGTGTGTGTGTGTGTGTGTGTGTGTGCGTGCGAAGGAAAGCATGTGCACAAGCACGCATGTGTGTGCATTGGAGAGCATGTTTGCGCCTAAGTGGGAGATGGAAGACGAGGACCAAGCATCAGCCAGTACACAGTTGCACTGTCGCACTGCATTCATGGAATGATGTCACTGCATCAACAACATCGTTGCAAGCACACCTCTCGTAAAGCGTCGATGCCCAGGGCCAGTCGGTTCTGAATTCGTGCTCGTGTGCCTTCAAGATGACGCACAAAACAAGAACACATCCGAGAGCGTAGTGTGAAGAGAAAGAATGACAATTCGCCGCGCAGGTCACCATGTGCATCGTGCTTGATAGATGTGTGCGTGTGCGTGTGTGTCTGGGTATATTCACGTATGCATGCGCGCGCGCGCGTGTGTGTGTGTGATGGAGTTTGCTTGTCAGTGTGGGACCAACCTCGCTGAGTGATGTGTGTCCCTCTCCTGTGCCATGGGACTGTTGCCAAGCTCTGCACGGCCATGCGATAGCGGAACGCAGAGCTGGCTGGCTGCACACACCCGCACGATTACCGAGGACAATGTGACGCGTGTAAGACATGAGGGCTATTGATGTGAGGAACAGCATGGCCACACTCGTGGGGCCACACCCACGAACGCGCACAAGCGGCAGGTGTTCCTCTTCGTACGCTCACACACACACACACACACACACACACACACACACACACACACACACACACACAGAGCATCACAAACAAGCGCCACCCCTATCACTCACCATGGCAGTGAGCATGTGGGAGCGCAGATGGAGCGTTTCCCAGGCGTCTGACATGGTCTGTTCATACATGACATCATCACTGGTGGCATATGACATGCACATAAGTGACAACGGCAAGAAGCTTCGTCAGCTGTGATTGAAAGCACAACAATTGTAAACAGAGGCACTTGAGCACCCAATTACTGCCACGCTACCATGCGCACATGTCAGCACACCCTCCCCCCCCCCCACACACACACACACATACATACACATACACACACACATACATACATACACACACCCACACACACACACCCACACCCACCCACACACACACACACACACTCGCACACACACACACACATACACACACATACACATACATACACACATACATACATACACATGCACACACACATGCACACACACACACATACATACATACATACATACACATGCACACACACATGCACACAGTCGTGCACCTGAATGCGAGGGTGTGGTCGACCTTCAATTTTCGCCTGCGCCGCTTCTTGTGCTGTTGTGTCGGGCTGGCGGCTGTGCTCGCAGCGGCAGAGGATGATGTCGGTGACGATGGCGATGATGACATTGGCGCTGACAGTGGTGGCGGGTGGCTGCTTGCTTGCCCGCTGGTTTGCACTTGCTCATACACGGTGCCTGGAAACGGGTGAAGCAATCCGTGCACCAGCACGTTGGTGGATGAGCTTCAGCAACATTCCGGGGTGTCACTGACTCCTGTGCTCTCGTGCACAGAAAGCACACGTGTACAAGACACAAGCTTTGGCGTGTACAAGACACAAGCTTTGGCAGTGCACCTTCGTGCGGACCCACACACACGAATACCACAGACGACATACGAATAAATGCACACACACGCACGCACGCACGCACACACACACACGCACACACAGAGTCAGTTGCACCTGCTGTCAAGGAAGCCACGTCCGTGATGGTTGCCGTCGCGCCACTCGCAGAAGCGGCAGCACTGTTGTTGTGACCATGCTTGGCGACAGCGAGGGGTTGGTGCTGCAGTGGCACCTGCGCGACGTGTGGGCTCACACCACCACCGCTGCCACCACCACCAGCGTCGTTGTCTCCTAAGCCACGACCGTTGCCATCGTCGTCATCGTTGTCATTGTCGTCGTCGTTGTCATTGACACCATCATCAGGGTACCCGCCCATATCATCCGCCTCCCCAAACTGCTGCTGCTGATGATGAGAAGCGTGCATGTGCTGCTGAATCACGGCAGCGTCACCGCCATCCACCAGCGCTGAGGCCACGACACCCATCGCCTGCCTTCGTCCACCACCGCCACCACCACTGCCACTATGGTTGCGTTTGCCTGGGCTGTTGCTGTCAGCGTGACGACGGTGTGGGGAGCGCGGTGCGCGGGCAAACGCGGGGCTCGGCACGATGTGTGTGAGCGGATCATCATCCGCTGACCGTGCTGTACATGTGCAAGTGCCAATATTGGTGTGAATCATTGGAGATATGTGTGTGTATCAATGAGCAGACATACACACACACAAGCACACATAGTTGCTAATTCACGAACATATCCACACACACGCATGCATGCACACACACGCATGCGCACTTGGTTCAGAATCACCACTGTTGCAATCGCCACGTGCATAGACCCGCACGGTGCTCACCAATGCTGAGCGCGGTGTCTGCGAGTGCGTCTGCGGTGAGAACAGCAAACACGTCTTCAGGCGTTGTGCTCAGACTCGAGAGTGGCGTGACTGCCCGCCCTTGTTCCGGTGTCACGAGACGGATCTGGTCATGCGAAGCAACCTGACACATGCACATGCACAGGTGCAAGGGCGGGTGATTATCGCCGCGCGCGCGAGTGTGTATGTATGTGTGCATGTGGGTGTGCATGTTTGTGTGTGCGTGCTTGCAGGTGTGCGATGATATGGAGCATGGCAACCACACTTGAAGGCAGCAAGTGTACTTGGACACCAAACCACGGCTCAGGGACGACAAGGGCGTACCTGATATTGCTTGTGATCCACAAGCTCGCTGTCAGGTACAACACTACAAGAGTTTCGTTCCCAAAAGTGAGCACAAACACACACATACCACACACACACATACACACCACACACACACACATACTCACCACACACACACAAGTGCATGTACAGGTAGGCAAAACCAACTCACACATGCACACCACACGTATACACACACACCAAACAGAACACAATGCAGCTGTAACGCACTCATCATCGAGGAAGAGGGATGATCGCTCGGCTTCAGTGAGCGTAAAGGAGCCACCTGTCCACGGCAGAGCCAGCGCCTCTTGCTGCTGGTGGTGGTGGTGATGTATCTGCTCGTGCTAATGATGACGTGCATGGTGTGGAGGTGGACAGACAGTGCCACGTGCGTGAGCGTCAACGCAGACCACACACACACATGTCAACGTGGGTGACGCTTGCATACATGTGACCCCATGCTCACCTCTGTCTCAAAGTCCTGAGCAAATGCATCGAGTGTCTCTGGTTCGAGGAGCAAGAAGTCGTCGTCATCGCTGTCCATCGCATCATGAAGTGTGATTGTGTGCAGCTGAATACACAGACACAGAGAGAGAGAGAGAGAGCGACACCCACACACGCACGCACACACACACACACACACACACACACACACACACACACACACACACACACACAAACACATACAGACACAGACGCACACAGGCACACATAATCAGGGGCAAGGATGTGAGCATTGGTGTGAGGACATGGGCATGCATCAAGATGGTCACGCGGGTCCACAAGTTCCACAGCCCATACAGCATAGCAACACATCAAGGCATGTTTGTGTAATACGTTAGCAACGAGCCCGCGCTTCTTCGTCACAGCGGCGATATCTGTCACAAAACGGATGCGACAGTTGGCGCGCAGCGTCTCTGCAGAGGCTATAACATAGACATGGCAAGTGGTGATGTGGCATGAGCATGACAAGCACGTGTCTGCACCTTGCGAACACACGAAACAAACACTCAGGATCCGGTAAGATTGTACATTCATGCCCACTCATCCCCCACACACACCCACTCATACCCACTCATACCCACTCACACACACACACCCATTCACACACACACACACACCACCCATTCACACACACACACACATTCGCACACACTGATACTGACCAAGGGTCATTCGACATTGTTGGGCAAAGAGAAGACACACGCCCTTCATGAGGGTTCCTGTGATTCGGACAGCCAGTTTAGACCCTGATACTTCCGTGCTGAGGTCAGCAGGGGAGATGTGCGCAAGAGTTGACGTGGTGTGAGTTGAGTTCAAAGATAAAACACAGGCGCGAGAAGATGCAGAGGGGAAGAAAGCACAGAGGAGCGAGGGGCAGGACATTCGAGAGACGCTTGGCAACAAGCTAGGCGCCAGAACGAAACAAGCAGGAGCATCTTGCTATCTTGAGCGCACCACATCATGACAATGTCAAGGGATTGCAGTTTCGTGCGGCTGATGCCTTTGCAGCCACTGCACCGGAGAAGAGCATGCGCATGTGTGTGAGTGTGAGTGTGAGTGTGAGTGTGAGTGTGAGTGTGCGTGTGAGTGTGAGTGTGCGTGTGAGTGTGAGTGTGAGTGTGTGAGTATGAGTGTGCGTGTGAGTGTGCGTGTGAGTGTGAGCGTGAGTGTGTGAGTATGAGTATGAGTATGAGTGTGAGTGTGAGTGTGTGAGTGTGAGTGTGAGTGTGAGTGTGCGATGGGTGTGAGTGTGAGTGTGAGTGTGAGTGTGTGAGGCAATGTACCCGCGTGTAAGCGAGCGCCGTGTTCGTGCGTGTATGAGTGAGTGATATGCGACGATCCCCCGTTGTCAGGCGCCCTTGTTTCGCTGTTTCGGAAGACACAAAACTGCGCTGCACGTTCAACAGCACACTTACATGATACCAGCGTGCCAGGCCAGGAAAAGGGGCGACTCTTTGCCCAGCACCTCCTGTCGATAGAACAGCGCCATGGCAATGCGCGCGCGGGCTGGGAGGATGACAGCAGGCACTCAAATATGCTCGCTATGGTTGTGGTTGTTGTTGTTGTTGTGGTTGCTGTTGTGTCGAGGGGCACTTGCGTGCTTGTGCACGACGCTCGACAAGTGCAAGTACGCTGTCGTGTGGTGTGTGGTGCGTGCTGGCCTGTGCTGGCTCGTGTTCCTGGTGCAGCGCAGTGCGGTGAATGGCGACTGCTGCATCCCAGCGCGCCAAAACCGCCACTGCACACATCACCAACACAAAACAGGACACACAGGCGAAGGGAAAGCAAGGGAGGCAGGGGAGCAAATCTAGCACCACAGCGCACACACACGCATACACACGCACACACGACACAGATCAAAGCACAACCCACACGACAACAAACACCTACACAAACCCCAACCAGCCAACCACATCATCATCGATCGCATCGTCGCAAAACCCCGGACAAGTTTACGATAATTGTGTGAAATTTTCCACGAATCGCCAACAACCACACCAGCAGCGAAGGCGATGATGACGGTGCTGTTGTGTCGAGTTGCACAGCGCTGTGGCAGCAGGAGCAGACGCAGTGGCAGCAGGAGCTTCAGGTGTTCCGCAACAAGGATTGCTGCTTCCAAGCCGGCTGTTGCTGTCCCTTGTGGCCGTGGACGTCGCTCTGTGTCGACCCTTTCTTGCTACAACATCTCCAGCACTGACGTTTACAGCAACCTCGCCTTTGAGACATGGTGCGTGCGTGTGCGTGTGCGTGTGCGTGTGGTGTGCGCGGTGACTGTTTTATTTTTCTCGACAACAACAACTACAGCACACAACTACACAACACACATACATACACATTGGCCTGATTGATGCCTTGCTTCGAAAATGCCTTCTACAAGTGTATTCACACACACACACACACACTCACACTCACACACACACACACACACTCACACACACACACACTCTCTCTCTCACACACTCTCACTCACTCACTCACACATGCGCGTGCACGCTCCCACCCCCTCCCAACGTGTATTGTGCAGGTTGCATGAGAGCACGGACTGGAACGATCAGGCCGCGATGCTGTTTTGGCGGAATGATCCGTGTGTTGTAATTGGCTCGCACCAGAACCCTTGGATCGAGTGCAACCTCCCAGCCATGGCCAAGGACAGTGTACACTTGGCACGCCGGAGAAGTGGCGGTGGCACCGTATACCATGTACGCCATGACACGACACAAGTGCTTGCACGGATGCCTGACTGCTGCTTGCATTCGCGCACGGCTTTCCTGCTTTCCAGTGCTCAGCATGCTTGGTCACAAGTGTTGCTTCACTCTCCTCATAACTCCATGTTGATGCATGTTAGGATGCGGGCAACTTGAACGTCACGTTCATGACATCCCGAGCAAAACACAACCCGGAGCTCAACTCGGGCGTTATTGCTGCTGTCATCAAGAAAGGTCAGTCATGCGTTTGCTTGTGTGTGTGTGTGTGTGTGTGTGTGTGTGTGCTTGCTTGTGTGTGTGTGCTTGCTTGTGTGTGTGTGTTTGCCTGTGTGTGTATATATGTGCGTGTATGTGTGCGTGTACATGGGGTTGTAGTTTCAGGTGTTGCGCTTGTGTATGTGTGCTCATGTGGTTGTGTACGTGTGAAACGCATGCGCGCATGCTGTTGGCTCCCATGTCCACCGTTTTCAGCTCACATGTGTTCACAGCATATGGGTTGGACTGTACGGTGAGGCCCAAGCGAAGTGACATCTTCGTTGGCGATCGAAAGCTGTCTGGATCGGCGTTCAGACTGGCAAGTACAACACACAAAGCTTGAGACAGTTCCTTGCTGACGTTGTTGCTGCGTGTTTGTACCTGACTAAATAAAACACACACACACACACACACAAAGACGCAGTGTGCATGTGCATGCACATGCGCGTGTGTGCTTCTGTTTGTTCTGTGTCCTTCTGCTAATCTCTGTCAAGTTTCTCATAGCTTTTGATCACGCATTGCCATCATTGCAGAAAACGCAAGCTGCGTATCATCACTGCACACTGCTCATTGATTCAGACCCACAGGTTTGTTCGCGAGTGGTGCGTGTGTGTGTGTGGATATGCGTGTATGCTGTGTATCTAAACAGTGATGGCACGCATCGTCCTCGTTGTTCCTTGTTCCTTTTGAATTTCCCCGCCGCGTCCATCTGCCATGTTCTCCTTCCTCAATAGTGGTCCCTTTTGTTGTTGTTGTTGTTGTTGTTGTTGTTGTTGTTGTTGTTGTTGTTGTTGTTGTTGTTGTTGTTGTTGTTGTTGTTGTTGTTGTTGTTGTTGTTGTTGTTGTTGTTGTTGTTGTTGTTGTTGTTGTTGTTGTTGTTGTTGTTGTTGTTGTTGTTGTTATTGTAGGCGATCAGCCACTATCTCAAGAGCCCCATGTCCTCTGACATCCAGAGTAGAGGCATTGAGAGCGTAAGGTGTGTTTGTGTGTATGTGTATATGTGTGTTGGTGTGTGTGTCTGTGTGCTTGTGTCTGTGTATGTCTTTGCATTTGACGCGCACATTCTCTCTCACTCACACACACACACACACACACACACACACACACACACACGCGATCACTCCGCGCTGGTGCCAGGTCACCTGTGACGACGCTTGAGCGGGAGATGCAATCGCTACAGCACCGCTCGCGCTCCGTTGACCTGCCATCACTCATCGCCCAGGAGTACTGGAGACAACTCGGCGTACGTGTGTACGTGTGTGTGTGTGTGTGTGTGTTTGTGTGTTGTTGTGTAAATGGGTGTAACTGTGTGTGCATTTGTGCATGTGCGTGTGAAGAATTGCTCGTGCTGGTGGATGTGCGCAGTTGAACAGGCTGCTCATTGCGTGAAGACACCGCTCTCATGGCGCAACCGCTGCCTTGTCAACGTCCATCTGTTCTCGTGCACTACAGGCACGCGCGCTGGTCACGCATTCCCTGAACACGACCACCAAGCACGAACCCTGGCACGCCGACATCTCAAAGCTGCGCGTGTGTCATCAGTGCCTTTGCCGTCCCAGGATGCAGCCACATGCACATGCACACATGCATGCGCAGACACACGCGCACGTATACACATGCGCACATGCGCACATGCGCACATGGATACATGGGCACACGCACACGCACACGCACACGCACACGCACATTGACGCTTTTGCATTCACATTCACCACCTCTCTTTCTCGCTTGTGCGTACATGCAGGGCTGGTTGTGGCGATATGGAAACACACCCAAGTTTGTGTACACACCGCAAACCTCCTTTGAATGGGGAGCAGTGGTGGGTGAATTCATACACTCGCATGCATGCACGATTCAGAATTGCCAGCCACACTTCATCCATGCCTCACCACCACCGCTGCCATCACTGTTGTGTGTGTGTGTGTGTGTGTGTGTGTGTGTGTGTGTGTGTGTGTGTGTGTGTGTGTGTGTGTGTGTGTGTGTGTGTGTGTGTGTGTGTGTGTGTGTGCATGAATACGTATCAGATTATTTGTGAGAACGAGAGTCAAATTCAGTCTAATAATGAAGCACATAAAAGACCTGCTACCCATGTGCACAACATCTGAGCCCACACAAAAACACAAATCCATACCCAAAACCTGGGAACCGTGGAAGCTGGACAGGCAAATCGCAGACGCCCAAAAATAAAAAAAAAGCAGCAGACGCTTTTGAGAGAATACTAAAGCAGAACAGATAAGAATATATAGAAGGGAAGAGAGAAAAGATAACACGAATGCCAATATATACCGCGATTTAACTATCGCAGACAGAAGGAAGCACAGGATTGAGGTAGCCTAGGAAAGACAGCGATGGACACGCTACTACCAGCCACTGTAGCAAGACCCAACTAACCCCCCGCCCTGCTCAAGCCTGTCACTCACAAGAGCGAAGCATTGCAAAATTGTTTAGGTTACGACAGCAGCGACTAACGAAGGATACAAGGTACATGAAAGAGGGGACGGCCCAGGAAAGCGAACAG